TATTCATGTTGGACCATAATCAAGATTTTTCATGCGGGTACAAACATGTGACTATGTGAAATGGCTTGTTATGGGGGCCAGGCCCTCCCACTCTAATACGTAGAAAAGTTGGAGAAAGTCCAGACAAGGGGTAATTTTACGGGTTTAATGTGAAGTAGAAGTGGTCCCTACCGTTCCATGTCAGGTGTAACTGTGCAAGCAAGATGACGTGTAGTTTTTCAAACAGATGTGTTTGTAGGCATGACCGCATGACCCCGATCCACCTCGTGACTTCACTGGATGGATCTGCCCCGCCCCGTGACTTGCACAGGTCCAAATTTGTTGACCCATGATCCACCACAGGCGGGGCGGATTCGCCCCGACCCGACCCGTTGTAACCTAATTAGCTAGTATGCATTTCTAGTTGTGTGAAGTTCTTACCACTTGAATCTACATAAAGTTTATCTCTATAATTATCAAAAAAATAATATATTAAATCTAAGGCACAATAATCAAAAAATTTCAAAAGCAAGAGAAAGACACTTAGACTTGAATAGTTTATCTTTTTATCTACTTATATTAATATTGAATATATAAATTAAAATGTTATATATAAAAAGACATTGATAATTCTTCGTTGATTTCATTCAAATCAATATTACTACCTCGGTCTCATTCAAAGCTTCTCGTCCACTATTCACATGGTCAACTTAAATCATTCTTAATCTTTTGCTTTATATATTAATTTTTTATAAAATTTACATTTTTTATCAAACTTTATAGCGGTTTTAATGTAAATTCTGAATATGTAAATTTTATTTACTAAAAACAATCAGAGTGTGAACAAGGATTAAATTGTTTTATCGTCATTCAAACATCGTAAACCGTAACGGGACCTCTCTATGGGATGGAGGGAGTATAAGACCAAAGAATTTAAGATTTATTAAATGCACATAAGTATGTAGAATTGTATGTGTAGTATAATTTAAAAATGTATACTTGTATATTGAGCGGGTCGGGTCGGGTCGAGGCGTCACGGGTCATTACTAGTATCCGGGCCCACTGTGACACCGTCCCCAAGTGTAATTACTTTTTAGTGAATATTGTATTTAACCTTATGGAACGGTTAACGAGGTTACGATGTTATGAATGTTTATTAATTATTTTGCGTGAATAGTAAATTCGCACGTGGGGCACGCACCGGGAGCGGGGGCCGCTCGATATTCCCGGGACCACATAAATTATTCATCTTGGTCTAGATAATATTTATATGGTGGTGGATAACTCATTGAGCCATGGAAAGGTTCAGAGTTGACCAATTGGTCAAAAGAGGCCCAAATACCGGTATTGGCAATTTAACCGATAAAAGCCCGAAATTGAATTTCGGGGACTTATAAATTAAAGTTGGGAAATGTATAATCATTATAAGGGTCATAATGATTAAGAGCTCATAATATATTTTATTTGACCCGATAAAATGAAATATATTTAAAACTGTCCAAAAAAAATACAACTTTCGGGACCGATTGTACACGTTGGGACACAAAGGGATGACCTCCCACATGAGTGGGGGCCAACCCACGTTTTTGTGTGCTAGATTAGACAAACTTGGGGCTGGTTGACTTGGAAGGAGGGAGGTGAGGTGATGAGCATCAAAGGTACACCTATGACCCCATTTCCTCACTCATTGGTCCAAAAGAGACAAAAGCCACCCATCCACTCTCACCACCTCCATTCACTCGAGCACCATCATCCAAAGGAAGAGAAAACATCCCAGAAATCTACCTCCTCCATAGCCAAACTCGTGCTGCAACTCAACAAGAAAGGAGAAGGAAGTTTGAGGAAGAAAAAGGGGAGGAAAAGTGTGTTGATTGAGGTAATGACCCTATACTAGTTTTCCTTTGTTCATTAACAACCATATGGATATCATAGCATGTGAGGAACCCTTATAGTAGCTCTACATTCTTAAGAATGTAGAAGGAGGGGTTGAGAGGAAGTTCCAAGTCCAAGAACGGACATAGGAGCCAAAATAACCGGTTCACCGGAAAATAACCTTTTAGGGGTTATTTGTATTGATTAAGGTTTTATGATGTTAAAACCTTGTTAGGAACTTGATTAAAGTATTTTTGAGCTTCGCCGGAGTTTTCGCCGGAGTTGGTCAAAGTTCACCGGAAATTAGTCAAAGTTCAACTGGGGAGCGTAGAACGCGCGTGAGCTCACTTAAGGTGAGGATGACCGACTATATTGCTTATAATTATTGGGTTAATTTCATAAGATTTCCTAAATGAATTATATGTGTTTGGCATGATTTGTTAATAATTAAAAAAATGCCTAAATGAGATCATTATTGTTTATAAGCAAAGATGCATAATATACAAATTTATGAATAAATTGTGTATGATTATGTGTTACTAATACTAGGGGTGGTTCGATATGATATACCTTATATTTTTTCTCATACCTTTGCCGTACCAAAACTTTCGGTATGCAAAATTTGCATACCTTTACCTTACCGAAGTTTCAGTATACCGCATTTCGGTATACCGAAGTTTCGGTTCGGTAACGGTACGGTATCGGTAAATTACCGTGCATGTCTCCCAATACAAAAAATTATCATAGACTAACGAAATATACTAAATCGTTATTACTAGTGACATGTTAAATCTATTATTAAAATGTTATGAAATACAATTAATAATCTATTGATGTCAATTCAATATTGAACAATAATTATTATTATTAGTATATTTAAGCAGTTCAACATTCCGCATATTAAAAAGTAACACATTCTCCTAAAATAACTTGAACAATATAGATATAATTAAATCAACAGTGATCTCTAACAAAAATAAATAAAACTATTCAAACAACATGGATATAAAATCATTTATTTCTAATATGATATTGTGTATTTAGTCATTTTTATAATTTTTTAAAATTTGAATAAGACTTTCGGATAAAGTTGTGTGTCTCGACTCGCGGAATTCCTATGTAGATACACTTGTCACATAAGTGTATCTCTCTTCACTTGTCAGCTACTTAGCGGCTCAACCATCACGACTTGCAAGATCTTGGAACAAGATGGACTTGTTTCTTGACATTTGCACATTAGTCATTAGTCATTAAGGTTAGCGTAGTAGAAGCCTATAAGGTTATAGTGGGTTTGAGAAATTGGGCCTTTATTTTTGTATTTTTGTATTTTTGTATTTGTAACCAACTTAAGTATTAATTTTGGACCCTCGAAAAAAAAAGTATTAATTTTGGGCTTCAAAATTGTAATGGATTTCTACAATATACTATCCTCCGTTCTATAATTCTTGCAACAGTTTGACTTTCACGTTTGCCAATGCACAACTTTGATTGTAATTATATTTAATTATGTATTAGTAAACATTATAAAAAGTTGATATTTTGGAAATTCACATTGATAAGAGTTCAATAACATTTTATACGTAATAATTTGATTATGTATATTAGTAGAAAATCATGGTCAAAGTACGATCTGTGAATAATGTAAAAATCACAATGTTGCAAGAATTATAGAACGGAGGAAGTATTAGAATTAAAAGTAATTGTTGAGTAGGGAGTCGGTACGGTATTATACCGGTATACCGCGGTATTTGAAAACATTTACCGTTACCGTACCGAAATAGATCGGTACGGTATGATACCGTACCGAAAATGACGGTATACCAATATTTCGGTATTTTCCGGTATTTTTCGGTACGGTAAGTGCGGTATACCGATATTTCGGTATTTTTGCCCACCCCTAACTAATACAATGGCATAATAGTTGTATAAACTAAAAATTAAATGGTGATAAATATACTTTTACCTCATGTAAGGGAGTCATGGGAGGATAAAAGTGATATTTTGATAATAGGGCCAAATTATACTTGGATGTGAAATTTAGTTGAAATATACGAATTATTATGAAATTGCATTGGTTTATTAAGATTAAACAACTAGTATAGAAATACTAGTCGGGAATGTAAGTTCAATAGTTCTTGGGAGCTAATCTCAAGATATTGGAGTTAAATAACCTTAAAGGATATTTTTAAGGTGGACTTATGAAGTCAAGTTACATTAGGAGTAGGCCTTAAGGGTTACTCAAAATGGATGGAGCCTAGACTAAGAAGTGGTTTAGAGATTAGATGACGTGACTATGAGCCGAGCTCTAGCACGTGGTAGTATGACTATGAGCCGAGCTCTAGCAAAATGTAGTACGACTATGAGCCGAGCTCTAGCAAAATGTAGTGTGACTATGAGCCGAGCTCTAGCACAAATTAGTATGACTATGAGCCGAGCTCTAGCAAAATGTAGCGTGACTATGAGCCGAGCTCTAGCACAAATTAGGATGACTATGAGCCGAGCTCTAGCATGAAGGAATGTGAATTTAATATAAATAATAGCCCCTAGATTTAGGGTCTTGGAAATTGAAACTTTGATTATACTTAGTATAGTTGTCATTGTACTTGTCAAATGCTTCCAAGTACTGACCTCCCCTTCACGGGGGAGGCCACCTCACAGTTTCAGGTAGAACTTGAAAGTTGCTACCACCGCCCGCTGCTTCGGGAAGATCAAAGGAGGGAGACGTGGTTCGTGCTTCTTCCGTTCCTGTTTTGAAAACATTTTAAATAATGCTCATGGATATTACTTTTAAATATTTATTTTGGGCTTGTATGCCCATGTTTGCCAAAGTGTGGCATGCACACTTGTATTGAATGCTTCCGTTGCTTTAAATGAATATTTTACATTATGTTTGTTTATGGATGTATTATGTGTGAATGATATTCCAGACGTCTTGTATAGTATGGATGTGTTGGACTGCGGTTGACTATTCGTACTGTACGGCGGGTTGTTGACGTGTCCGGTTAGGTCCGGGGCGTGACACCCACCCCATTGTATGACGGGGTCATTGTGGTCGATTTTTTTTAACATGCCTATGTGTTTGATGTATGATGCCTAGATGATGATGCACTCAACGCGGAAGAGTTTGCAAAGACATGAACAAATTCAGCAAACGATAAATCTCAAAAGAATTACTCGTACATCAGAGAAGACAAACAACCCTCAAGACACTTGGAGGCCAGAGACAATGAATGTCCAAACAACACACAAAACAAGCACACTTGACAAAGATAAGGATTTGAAGAAGCAATGAACTAGTGAATGCAAGTACTAGCTAGGTAGCAGCACCATACTATGCACACTCAACCAAGAGTATTAAGTGCTTCCCAGACCAAATTCTTGGGAGGTAGAGGCCGGGTCAAATCCCTGGCCTCCAGGGCCGCTCTCCGGAGCGTCCTAACCGTCAAGCGGTTGGCCTCCCAGAACGAGACGCACGCGTAGGGCAACCCGTGTTTCTTGCAAAGCTCCTTCACAAAGGGAGAAACCTTCCTGAGGTGGCATCTGGGCAGCCTCGGAAACAGATGGTGCTCGATCTGGAACTGAAGCCCCCCGTGGAACCAATCCATCCAATGAGGACATGAGATGTTCAGCGACCCGTACGTCTGCTTCTTGAACCAGTCGCTGCTCGTGGGCGGGCCCACGTACACGCTCGTCGAGAAATGGTTAAGGCAGAACTGAATGTGCTGAATTCCGGTGATGGAGAAGCTAGCCAGCACAAACAGGATCCTCTCCCCCCAGTTTGGTAACAAGGAAACGAGATACGGGTACCAAACCCAGAAGGCGAGGAGCCCGAGAAGCTCCTGGGCCCGATTGGGCACTTTTCGGGCCGATAGCAAAAGAGAGAAGGATTGGGAAAAGAGATTGAGTCGGGCTAAACACATGACGGGATAGAAAGTCCAGTGCTGGTGACTGATGAAGAATCTGGCGGAGGAATGGAAGATCATCTTTCTGTCATAGAAGCATGAGTGGAGGGAGGAGAAGAGCTTGGAGGAAACGGCGAAGAGAGGCATGTGCTGGAGATCCGGGTCGAAATCCAGGCTGTTGCAAGATATGTGGTGAGCATTGTGGTTCCAATTCCACCACCCGATGCTGATTCCGGCAAGGCAGTTCCCGGTGAGGATCTGGGCGAACCGATTCCACCCTTTGTTCATCATGATCTGATAATGCCCGGAATCGTGGCCTAACCACCCACTCTGAATCCACAGGAATCCCATTAGCCCCCCACTGCCCAAGTGAGCCCACCATACCTCACTGCACACCACTCCATACACGCTCGCAGCGAAGATCAGTGAAATGAAGCAGAGCGAGAGGAGGACTCCGTGCCCCTTTCTCTCGAACAGCCCCATTTCGGTGAAATCCGCCGCGAGTTTCCGGTAGTCCCTGGACACATCGGAGACGGCGTGGTCGTTGAGGAAATAGCCGTTGGAGTGGCGGGAGAGGTGCTTCCAGGCGGCGGGTGGGTGGAGGGCGAGGAAGGAGTCGGTGACGTCTTGGCCGGCGAGGGTGGTGAGAGGGAGGGAGCCGCCGGGATGGGTTTGGACCCACTCTGACACGTCGTACACCTTGCCGTGAATGGACAGCCACAGGTCTCCGGCTTTGTTGTGCTTCTTCAGCTCGTCTGTGGAAATGTACTTCGCCATGAAGAAGAGGAATCAAACAAACAGGTTTCTGTTTTTGCCACAGGAATTTGAAAAGGAGAAGGGATCGGAGTAACTTTTTGGAACAGCCACATGTGAAGCCGGCAGAGGCAGAGGAGTGGTTGTTGATTTCAAATTAGGAATCCAATCCTTTTTTAACTCATTAAACGCGCTCGCTCGCTCGCCACAACTTCCTGTGTAGTAGTAGTACTTGCTCCTTGAAATAAATTCATTTCATGGTACGGAATATTTTATACCTCCCATGTACTATGAATGTCACTTGTGAGTTGTGAGAAGCTTCTTTGTCACATTTTTATTACTTCCCTTTCCTCAAAAGCTACCCATTATGTCTTCCCAAATTTATATAGGGTCGGTTTTGTGACTCTCTTTTTCGGTTTGTCATGTTTATTAATCAACATTTTAATCAAACACGTAACTTTTCATTTCGTGCGTTGAATTGTATAATAATAAGAAAAAGTAAAGTTGAAGTTATTTTTCTGACTGTATTGACAGAAGTTATTGTAGATGACCATTTTAGCTATTTTTCATATAAACTTTTCTTTATTGTATTAATAAAATATATTTTAAGTATAATTTATTCATAAATCAGCAGAATCAGCCAATACAGCCATAATATAATAAAGCAAATTCTTGGAGTACTATTTGGATAAATTCTTGACATGTGTCAACATCCTTATAGAAAAAGTGACATGTGGACAACACCATAAAAGAAAAGTTATTCAGTGGAGGCACACACTTTGATCAACATTGCAGATAATGAAAGTCAAAATTAGATTTTTTTTATATTGCCCAACTCGAAGCCTGCATGTGCCAATCAACTTAACCTACAATTCGTGCAAATTGAAACACAAAATCGGTAAGTTCATCGAGTTAAAAAATGACAACTTTAAGTCATCATGAAATGAGATGAATAGGTTTGCCCTACAGACTTCCGACTCATTTTGACATCTCTATCCATAATCAATTGAATTTTCTTTTAAATTCCAATTGACAAATTCACATACTGCGTAGAATTCACAGCCCTTATAATTTTGAAAAAAAGTACACATATCTTACCGTGCAATGCACGGGTACACACCCACACTAGTTATTTTATATGTCTCGCACCGTTTGTTTTTCTTTTAAAACAAGTACTACCTCCGTCCTCAAAAGAAATTCTCACTTTTCTCTATGAATATCTCAAAAAAGAAGTTTTCATTTCTATTAACGGAAACCACATTTAACGAAAAAAATCGCAATTGTTCTTACTTTTTGCACACTTTTTGTTTGATTTGACATATAGCACGGGTATATATGAAAAGTCGAAACAAAACTCTATCTTACATAAATATGTGTTTAGGTCAAATTGGGAACTTCATTTCGGGACGAAAGGGGGTAGTATGTGATGCGTGCGTTGCACGAAATGTAAAGTGCAAAATCATAAATGTCAACCTCTAAATTTTAATTACACATTATATTCTACTTTCTTGAATGAGAGTTACCTTTAATAAATAATACCCCCTTCGTCCCGCTAAGATTGTCACATTTACCTTTTCGGGAAATCCCACTAAGATTATCGCATACCAAATTTGGTAAGTTTGTGTAGATCTAACTCATTTTTACTTTATTACATTCTTATGTTATCAATTCAACATTATCAATCACATAAACTCATGTTTCTTAATAACCGTGACACTTCCTCTTGTCCCAATGTTAGTGCGACGGTGGTAGTAACAAATACTAGAAGTTTAATAAGCACGCATTGTACAAATTATTGAAGGCTTCTTTGTAGACAACATTTTTACGATTTTTCCTTATTTCCCTCATCGTGGCATATCATGAACTTCAAGCCAAACGGACTTGCCACCCTTGAAGTTGCAATACTCAACTGGGCCATGTGTAAAAACGGGATTTCATAGAAAAACACTCACATTTTGTTACAATTGTCCTGACTCTTGTTCACTGACATCACATAGCTAACCATCAATGATGATAAAATGATTGAACTATGAAAACGTTAATGGTATACCTCTTGAAATATAATAGGTCCTATTTTTCTTGTGTATATATAGACGATAATTAGATTAAGATGGAATTAGGGCGCATAGATTATGTATTTAAGGTTAATTAGGATTCTTATCTTATAAAAGACGCCTATTTCCTTAATTGAACAAAAAAGGTATCAAGTATATATATAAATATAGGCATCGCTTTTAAAAATTATATAAATAAGAATCTATAATTCTTAAATACACAAATTCGGCCTTCTAGAACTTCCGTAGCAAAGTTCAATCCATTGGTTTTCACCATGAATTAGTCATGGACCCGGGCCGGGCCGGTTCCGGTTCCGGGCCGGGCCCGGCCGGGCTTTTTTTTTGGGAAGGAAGGCCCGGGACCGGCCCGGGTAGCCACCGGGTCCGGTCCGGGTCCGGGCCGGGCCGGGCCGGGCCGGGCCTCCGGTTCGGTTATAATTTTTTTTTTTTTTTGCTTTCCTAACCCCCCCACTCACCCCCACACCCCCCCAAACCCCCAAACCCCTCCTAACCATCAAGCCCAACTTGGCTAACCCCAAAAAAAGAAAAAAAAATTAAAAAAAAATCAATTCGGCCCGGGCCCGGGCCCGACCCGGCCGGGCCGGTTCGCCAAATTCAAGGCCCGAGCCCGGACCCGGCCACCCCACCGGGCCTAGGCCCGACCCGGACCCGGACCCGGACCCGAGAACCGGGCCGGTTCCGGGCTCGCACAGTGGCGGGCCGGGCCGGTCCCGGGCCGGGCGGCCCGAACCGGGTCCATGCCTACCATGAATAGAGAACATCTAAATGAAGCTTGATACAAAAAAAAGAAGATAAAGTATATAAATGTAAGCGTGATTATTAAAAGGAGATAAATAGAAATTTATAATTCTTAAATATACAAAGAAAAAATTGCCTCCGTATAACCCCTCCACTTTTGAATTACAAAAATATCACTTTTTTTCTCTTTTCTAAAAATATCACCAAACCTAATCTCTGCAACTTCCCACTCGACATTTCCATTCCCCCTCTCGGCAACTTCCCCTCTCACCAACTATCGCAACCCCTTCTGGCGTAGATCGGCTCCACCTTATGGCGGCCGACTCTGCCGGCATCGCACCGCCACCGCCACCGCCTTAGGTCGCCGGTTCCACTTTATGCCTTTCGCCTGTGCCGCCATCATACGACGCCGTCTCCGCCATCAATCAGCTTCGCCGCCTTCGTCGCTCCGGTTCTCTTCTTCTTCTCCTTCTTTAATCCCTGTCCGATTGATGAAGCAATGACAAAGATGGACTGACATCAACATGGTAGAAAGGCTAAGGTTTCCAGATCTGCGTTAAAGTTCCGGCGGTTAGGGTGTAAGTGCTTGGATTTCAGATCTGGTGGACGGAGTTGGGTGTGGCTAGGTTTTGCCTAGGCAAAGGGGGCAGTGTGGTTCAGTGGCAGGGGAGGGAGACAGGTTGTGAGTCTTGGGCTGCGCAAGGGGGTGTGGTGGGGGGCTAGGGTGCGGTGGCCGGTTGGAGTGGTCACAACGGTTGCGGGAGGCAGTGGTAGGGTCTTGTGTCGCTCTTTGCAGGGCAGAGGTGTGGTTATTGAGACGGCGAGGCTGGGGTGGTGGCAGTGGCGGAGGAGGGCTAGGCCGGGGTGAAACAGGGTATTGGCTGAGGTGAAGGTGGGGTCGGACAGGGGGCTGGGGTTAGGAAGGGGGTCGAGTAGAGGGCTGATGTGAGGCATGGGAGGGGGCTAGGTGATGCAGCAGGCTGGGTGTGGTAGTCGCCGGCGGTGGCCGGAGTTGATGGACGCCGGAGATGGTGGTTACCAATAGTGGACAGGGCTTGGGGCTTGGGTTGGGGTGCGGTGGCCACCTTGCTGTCCGGGGTGGTTGGTTTGAGGTGGTTCAGTTGAAGGCGTGGACATTGACAATGACTTGTCGGGGGAGGGGGGCGGTAGTGACTGACCGGGGCAGTGACTGGCCGGGGGGTGGCGGCTGTCACTGGTGGCGACAGTGACTGGCCGGGGGTGGCGGCAGTCACTGGTGGCGGAGTCACTTTCAATGGCGGCTGCAGTCACTGCCCGGCGGTGGCAGAATTGTCGTTGAGCAGGTAGTCAACGTAATCGGAGTCAAGCGGTGGTCATTATGGCCAGTATGCGGGAGTCACTGTGACCGGCGGAGTCACTTTGGTCGAAGTCACTTTGGCCGGAGTCACTTTGGCCAGAGTCACTTTGGCCGGAGTCACTTTGGCCGGAGTCACTGTGACCGTGGCGGCGGCGGTGACCGTGGCGGCGGCAGAGGTGGTGCTTGGGTCAGCGGTCTGGAGATGCTGACTGCTAACCAAGATTACTATTAATTAAATGTGTAAAAGGAATACTCCGTAAATGATTAAAAATAAGGAATAAAAATGCATTTAGTAAAACAGCTCACCACATTTGACCACGTGAAATGCCTGTTTTAGTCACATTTTTGGGAAAAATTAAAACAGCTCACTTTTTTATCTTTTTCATTCATTTTAGTAATATTGGAATAAAAACCCCATATACAAATCCGACAGAACGTTTGTAGCAAGTTTCATCTCACTCGATGTGAAGCATGGTTTCACACTTTCACCCCTAACTCTCTCCATGAATACAAAAAATCGAATTGATTATTCAACTCTTTTCTAATTCAAGCTTGAGATATGGTCATATGGATGAAGCTTGATACGGTAGTTGGAGAAATTGAGGATGTGAGAGGTGAAATGATTATTCGGAATTATCCTAAATAAATTACATGTCTACAAACAACAACAATAACATCCAAGCCTTAGTCCCAAATGATATTGGGATCGGCTAACATGAATCGATACATGTTATCACTAAAAGGAAAAGAAAGAAAATAAAGATAAAAAAGTTAAGTTATTATAAAAAAAATTAATATGAAGGAGATGAATATACATATAAAAGATAAAATAAATAGGAAAAAGTAATATTTATATATACGGATAAAAATATAAAAAAAAACAGAAAAAAGAAGAAGAAAAAAGAGGGGAAAAGATGATACAAGATCACTCCTCATCACGAATACCCGCCCTCCATTTTGCTCACTCCGAAGCCATACCCTCATTCAATCCAAAAAGAAGCATATCACTTCTGACTCCCCTAACCCACGTCTGTTTGGGCCTTCCTCTCCCTCTCTTCCCTGCCTCTTCTCCACACATCTCAACTCGTGTGACAGGTGCATCACATGACCAAACCACCGTAGGCGCGACTCCCGCATCTTATCTTCAATAGGTGCTACACCCACCCTTTGTCTGATTGTCTCATTCCTCACGCGGTCCTTTCTAGTATGCTCACACATCCAACGCAGCATGCGCATCTCTGCCACACTCATCTTTTGAATGTGACATTGTTTCACCGCCCAACACTCTGTGCCATACAGTAATGCAGGCCTAATTGTTGTCCTATAAATTTACCCTTCAGTCTAGTCGGCATACCTCGATCCATAGAAATCCTGACGCACTCTTCCAATTCATCGACCATGTTCTGATTCTATGGGATACATCCCCATCTAACTCACCGTCCTTCTCAATTATGGAGCCCAAGTAACGGAACATATCGTTGACCGGTATCTCCTTATCATCTAGAGTAATTCCGCTATTACCACTGCTTCTACCTCCACCAAACTTGCACTCCATGTACTCTGTCTTGCTCCTACTTAGTCTGAAACCCTTGTTCTCCAATGTTTGTCGCCATACTTCCAACTTTGCTTTAACCCCTGATTGCGTCTCATCAATCAATACAATATCGTCGGCAAACATCATGCACCACGGTATATCGTCTTGGATTGACTTTGTAAGTTCATCCATGACTATGGCAAATAAAAAAGGGCTCAGAGCCGATCCTTGGTGCACTCCGATAGTAATAGGGAACTCCGCAGTCCTCCCCACACTAGTACAGACACTTGTAGTACAATCCTCATACATATCCATGATGATGTTGATATACTTGCGTGAAATGTCTTTTCTAGTTAAGGACCACCAAAGAACTTCTCGAGGTACCCTATCATATGCTTTTCTAAGTCAATGAACACTAAATGCAAATCCTTGTGAGCGTCTCTATACTTCTCCATAAGTTGCCGAAGAAGGTGAATAGCTTCAGTTGTTGAGCGACCGGGCATAAAACCGAATTGATTCTCTGAAATCTTCACCGTTCTTCGAAGTCTTTGCTCAATCACTCGCTCCCAAAGTTTCATGGTATGACTCATAAGCTTAATCCCTCGATAATTGCGTAAATAGGACTTAAAACTTAAATCTTTCATAAATAGGACAAAATATTAATTTTCTACCATTAATACTCCTAATCTAATTAATTGCCCCTCTAATTCCTTTGCATAACTCGATCAGTCCATTGGTGGTGGGGCAGTTTGGTGGCGGCAGCGGTGACAAAGCTCCGACGAGGTGCAGCAACGCAAACTAACGACAAATTGATTCTGGAAACTTCCATCAGATTCCGGCAACGACATAAGGGCATAAGGCAGATCGGCATCATGGGCAGATGTGCAGGTGGCAGGCAGTAGTGGTTGGGCACTCTCGTTTAAGATGAGGTAGATATAGATAAGAAAACTACATAGTACATTTTTGTCAAATGTTGGGATGTTCTTACCAATAGCTAGACAGTTGAATGAACGCCCGATTATGGAGGAGGAAACCATAGACAGTGAAACTGTCGAGGGGGGGGATTGCATCGCCGGTCTCTACGTACTGCTGGTGTTCTCTCCCACCTATTCCAATTAAGTTTGTTTTGTTTTGTTTTCCATCGTGTGTGCCCAGCAACTGATCTAGGTTTTGCCAAAGGAATACTATGATCTACGCTCATTGTAAGCGATCTTCTCATTGATTTCTTTTGGATGGGACTATGGAGAAGCTTGGAAAGGGATATGACAGACTTACCAAGAAGACATGGGTTTGGTTTTCAAAAAGGAATCTATGTTGGGAGTCGGGAGACATTAAAAGTATCTAGGGGGATCGTGACAGATAAACATATTCGTGGTATTGCCTTTCAAGAAATAATGAGTTAATGACAATGGTTGAGGGCGTTAGCATAGATGACATTGGTAATGTGAAATCCTTATAGAATTCTACCATGAAGGGAATATTAATTAGATGATTCAAGAGCGATCGTGATCTTTTGAACAAAATTTGGTAGTGATAAGACGTCTTGGGCTGTCTAATAGGCTGATCGAATTAAAATTCGATTATTTTGACCTATGGGTCAAGATGCATAACTTGCCGGTGTGTTTTATGGCTGAGAAGGTTGCAAGAGTACCGAAAGATGTGAAATAATGGAACAAGTTACCCTTTTTGAGGGTCTTAATAAATTTATTTATATAAAAACTAAATAATAAAATTACAAAAACTCTATGGGAATCATCGTCATAGGGCGCCCGACCGTGCTTACAACCCCAGTGGTTGGATCGGCAGGCTGGCTACGGTGACTTACCCACAGCTCGATCGGGTGAGGTTGTGTGAAGGGTCTTTTGAGAACAAGTTAGGGTTTCAAAATTTTGGTTGAGTTTTTTGTTCTCGATTCTTTAGAAAATATTGAAAAATAGTTCCAAGTTATTAATAATAAAAATTATAAGAGATATAAGAAGACATGTACGAATTGATTAAACTCTAAAGAAGTTTTTCTGCAAAGAATTAAGCGCAACTCGATGTCCTTTTTGCAATCTGTGGAATTAATATAAACATCTAAAGTAATGCACACAAAAAGCAAGCCCGAGTTGATAAAACTGGTAGACTATTGAGTTAATGGGCAGCCAGCCAGTCTAGCAAAGGGATCGAGCACAAAGCAACTTAACTACTTCCTTTTAGTTGAATCTACTACTCGACAAGGGGAGTGGGAGCCTATGATGGGGTAATGGGTCAGATCAAATACTAAATGGTCCGTTTGACTCTAGAGTAGGTCTGGTTAAGCCCGGACACGACCCAACTAGTGCGAAATTGGCCTGCGATATTTAATTGCTTATCGGGTTGTTAGCCCATTAACGTCACTATGAAGTCGTTTGGCAACACTGTTTTTCGACTTATCAGACTTATCAGCCAACTTTTTCACCAAACACGTAACTTTTGCTTTCACGCGCTAAATTGTGTAATAAGCAGAAAAAATAAAGTTGCAGTTACTTTTCTGGCTGTATTGGCTGAAGTTAATGTAGATGACCATTTTAGCTATTTTTACATATAATTTTTTATTTATTTTATTAGTAAAATATATTTCAAAAATAATTTTTTCTTAAATCAGTAAAATCAACAAATGCAGCCACTTCAATCAGAACTTCATAAATTTAAGCAGAATCAGCCAAAACAACCAATTTTCGTCCTACCAGACGGGCTCTATAAATGACACACTATATTCAATATACTGAATTGTCGTTACTTGTTCCCCCAAATTATTTCCTATCAACAGTTTATTGCTTTCCACAAACATGTTGGCTAATGCTATTGCAATGAGAATTTTATCAAGGATTTCGTCCCAGAGAGGTTTGTTACGGATTTGTTTGGGAACCATTTGAACATTTCCCAAAAATATTTTTCATGGTCATATCCCTGACAAAATATGGCAAGTGAAAAAAACTCCTGCCGTTCGGATGATTTGTGCCGGATTTTTTCCACCAAGAACGTATGTACAAATATCTCTAAAATCCTTTACTATTGGGTTTTTTCACAGACTGAATCCCTAACAAAATCACACCTACTGGTATGTGACAGAAACTATCCCCCAACAAATATGGATGTATTACCTTTTAGAGAAAAGTATAGAAAAGATACATGTGGTTTGAGCCGTTTCCAGATAGGGGCACGCGTTTCATTTTTTGACAAAGTGGGACATCTTTTTCAATTCCGTTATCACAGTAGGGACATGACGTCTAACGCCGTTAGAAAATCTAACCCCGATTTTCAAAAGTCTCTAAAACATAAAAAGAAGAATACTGGAAGGTGCGCCTCGTCAAGGAGACCAACAAACTATCTTTTTTTTTGTTTCCAGCCAACATATCGCCAAAAAGTCCACCGGAGAAGTGATGTTAACAAATTCATTTTTAAAAAATAATCCAAATAGAGCCGAAAAATTCAAAGAGAACGATAGTTTGTTGGTCTCCTTGACGAGCCGCACCTCCCAATATTTTCCTTTAAATGTTTCAAAGACTTTTGAAAATCGGGATTAGATTTTCTAACGACATTAAACGTCATGCCTCTGCTGTGATAACAGAATTGAAACACATGTTCCACTTTATCAAAAAATGAAACACGTGCCCCTATCTGGAAACGGCTAAAACCACATGTACTTTATCTGTACTTTTCCCTACCTTTTATACTTGTCACAAAATTTATTTGTGACAAAAATAAAGTTGTTTTCGGAACCCTGACACGGCTGCTCATAAAGATTTTGTCACGGAATTGTCCGTGACAAATCCATGAAATAATGTAAGGGCCTGTTTGGTAACATCTGCAGTGGCTGAAACTGCTGAAATGGCTGTGATGGCTGAAACTACTGAAGTGAAAGTGTTTGATAATATATTGGCTGAAGTGACTAATTGAATGTATTTTTACCAAAAGGGTATTTGTTTCTTTGTATTTTAATTATATGTATTTTAGCATTGTTTTTCCATCATTTGGAATGGAGCCAAAGATTCATTATTTTTTGGCTTGAGAATATGATGGAATAACGCAAAATGGCTCACTAAACTGTCTGCGTTTCTTTGTTATGAAGCAGCAGTCAGTCCATGCAATTTTGGACGCGATTTTCACTATGAGTCATCCGGAAACAGTCACTGTGCTTTAGTACATGGGGAAGACTGTGTACACTCAACCCCCCTTACCCCACCGTAGGTGGGAGCCTTTGCGGGGTAAATGAAAATGATGATGTATTTTAGCTTTGGTAGTAAAATCTGTTTACCAATATCCTCAAATTAATTTAAAAATTACACTTTTGAATAGCAACGAAATTGACAATTGACAGCAACTATTTTAAATTGTGCAACGAAATTTAATTACGAGTGAGCTAAAAACACATACAGAACACAAGGAAAACCTATGGCAGACCATAAGAACAAACCAACTTGGAATGACAACACACCAACTGAAACCCCAAAGGATAGAAATTTTGGCCGGTCTGAAGGAAGTTTGGAAAGGAACGCAAATAATGGGTGGAAGACCAATACTTACATTTACATGAATCAGGAGCAGCCGAGCACGAAGAATATACACATTTGGGGAGAAGAAGACGGCTAGATGGGAAGAAGAGCATTGGGAAAGAAGCATCCGGATGTAAGCGTAAAAAGTTGGGGATAGATATGTCTTTTAAATGGCTAACTGTATAATAATAGAATTCAGCCAAAAAATCAACCAAATCAGCCCACTTAATGGGTGTTTGGTGATTTTTTTTTGTATATTCAGGCTTACCAGCCCATTTATGCTTCTCCAAACGGCCACTAAATAAATGTGAATCAGGCTAATTCATACTCCCTCCGTTTCCCAATTATTATCTCTTTTCCTATTCACGTGGTCAACACAAATCACTTTTAATCTCTTATTTTATGTTTCAAATTTTTATCAAATTTGATTCAGGTATTTGCGACTTTGTAAAGCTTTTAATGTAGTTTTTGAATATGTAATTTTTTTTCTAAAAATAATTTGGGGACAGACAGGGATCTGTTTGCTTTATCGTCGGTCAAGCATTATAAACTGCAATGGAACAATAACAGGGGGACGGAGGTAGTATATGATTGTGCCACACCCCGGACCGCGTCCATGCCACGTAGACAACCATTGTAAAAGCCCACCACTACAGTTCATCCCCATTAAACTGCAAAACACCACTACAGTTCATCCCCATTAAACTGCAAAATCCATATTCAACGGACTGTTTTTTGTAGTGAGTGCTATCTCCCCTTCATACAGAGTAAATATCACAATACAACTCACAATGCGTATAGCAGATTCAAATTTGCTGGTCATTGCTCAAGGCCCGCATAGGCATACACCTCAGTGTACTGCCAAGACCCCCCTACCCCACCCCAACGCTTTTAGAACCCTGATAAGACATAACTTAATAGAAATAATTAAGTATTTATAACTAAAATAAATATTTCTTACGTGACTAGTAACTAAAGTAGTAATAGAATCATACTCCCTCTGTTCTTTTTTAGTTGCAATACTTTTCTTTTTTAGTAGTTTCAACATAATTGCAACATTGCCTTTTTTAGTAATAAGAAATAATCATAATGACTATATTACCCTTAAATCCAATAAAGTAATATTTTGTACTACTGAGCCACAAATTCCTTCCACCCAATTTTTCAGCCATCTGCCCACCAACTCTTATTCCTCATTCCAATTTCTTCCATCTCGCATTCCTAGTCTACTGTTACTCCTTCACCCTTTCCTCCATTCTTTAATCCGAAAATTCATCCCATTTACAGAAAATCCAACAAGAACAATTCTGAAAGAAAGCCTAGGCCACGATTACCATCATCCTAGTCAATTCCTACGACTATTAGATCTCAAACTCGGAGATCCTCCATTAATGGACGCCTAAAAGCTTTGTTCACAACCCAAGCAGAAACAACCTAAAAATCTCCAGCAACGAAGGTAGCAACAGAACAGAGTAGGTCCTTCGCTTTCTCCGGCGACACCACCTGCCCGATTGCGCCGACGACTCAAGGATCTCCGGTTAGATAGAAGCTCAGTGTTGTGCCGGAGATTTCTTTCCTCCAATTTCTTCTTTCTTTTCATCTTGTCTGTTCGCTTGAAGTTACAACAATAAATCTTGTGTGAGGATAACACAAATTAATTTTACGTGGTCTAGGAGCTTCCGTGAACACCGAATAAAACACCAAGGTCCAAGATAGAACTCTTAAAGAAGTTGAGAAGCTCTTGCAGCAGAAGGGTAGAATAGGGAAAAAGTTACTTTATGGCTCTTTCTTAATTTGTGTGCCATTGGGTTATGTTGCATCTAATTTGGAACGGAGGATAGTAGTTACTTATGTTCAACTTTAAAACTTAAGTTACTACGGCACCACATTGAACTAACTATTAGTCATATCAGTGTAAATAAGTTTTATTTTAGTAATAGTTTTAAAAGCAAAAAAAACAATTTAATACTTAGGATGTTTTTACTTGGACTGTAATATGTCCCAGACCAGACCAGATCAGAACAAGCCAGACTTAGGTAGTTATAAAAATACAAAAAAAACAGACCAAACCAAACCAGTTCAGACCAGACCAGCAAATTACAATCCAAGTAAAAATATCCTTACATTTAATAATGCATTAATGCTATAATGTCCAAGTTCAGTTCACTAATGTGATTATTTACGGAGTACCATGTAATGTCATCTCCAACTAGCAACTAACAGAATTGGAAAATAACTCGATCCCCACGCTGCTCATAAGAATTGGGAAAGAACCTGGTCCCAACACTGTTCATTAATAGTTTTCACACCATAGTGTGTTGCTGAAAAGGCCAAAGCATGAAATCAACAGCAAAATCAAGAGCATACAGGATCAGAGTCGTGAATGAACTGCACTTCTCGTTACGACATATGATTCAGACAGCTTGGTTGTTTGTTGGTTGGGAAGGGTAGACATGACAAAGGCTGCTACCAGAGAAGCTAACTCTTGTTGGTGTGAGGTAAATTCATGATCCGCTCCTTCAATTATGTGCAACGTGTGTGTTGGGATGTACTTGGAAAATTCATAAGCATCTTCAACGGGCACCATTTCATCCTCAGAACCATGAATGGTAAATACCCTGGTGGAAATTGTTTTATCTTGTCATTGAATTTCTTTTGCTTGCAAAAGTTCATAAACATCAAGAGCATGCTATAGGTACCCCTCCTCTTTTGGCTTATCAATCATATATCCTAGTTAAAAACGGTACGGGAATAACGTGATTTAATACGTACGTGTTTTATTCAGTAAATTGGGAAAAAATACGGTCAAAAATTCGGCGAAAAAATCATTGACTTTTAAAAAACGTATAAGTACGTATACGTGAATAATACGACATCCCTTTGAAAAATTCGGGTTAAAAAAACGGACCTAATTTTAAATGCTTAATTTATTATACTAACTTTTAGATCATAAAAAACATATACTCCGTAGTACATAAAAGAAAATCAAAATAGATACATTGTGACATTAAAATAAAATATCTCATTACTCCAACAGTAAGTTCATGACAAAAAAGAAATAGTAATCCAAGTCTAATATGTCATGCAACAAAAATGTCTAAATGGTATTTTAAAAACGCACTAGTACACTAATTAGTAATTACTACCATGTTCTAAGAATTTAAGGTACTCTCTTTAGTCTTATTCAACCATAATTTGAAATTAACACAAAAATTAGTAATGATTAATGAATACAATTATAATATTATACGTAGTACCATACATGACTACTAGTGTACTCCTACGTAGTATTGCTTTATAGCAAAAACAATATAGTTCGATACTTCAAGAGTTCAAGTTCAATCAATGAATCCAACTAAAAAGTAAAAATTTGAGGATATAAATATTAGGAATATATTTTACAAACCTGGTTTGGGAGTTTAGGTAATGAGGTGGCTGAATTTTTGAACGACCGATGTTGTCCGGACTTCGGCTTTTGGCAGAGGAGGCGCAGAGGCTGAGCCGCTAATTGATTGCTTTGGAATCCTTTTGAGTTTTGATATCTTAGAAAAAAAGAACCCTATTCGTATTCCACTATTGAGCCTACCATTTTTTGAATATTAATTTCTTTGGCTTATTTAAAAAAAACTTTTCATACACATTTTTAATAATTCAGCACAATATTAATCAAACATTTCAGCGACAACATTTCAATTCAAGCTCACTCAGTCATTTTAAACAGATTTACCTCTATCGAACAGACTGAATATACACAAAATTCCTGACCTGCAGTTTGGTGGAATAGCTTGACATGACGTGCCAATCTCGGTTGTAAGGCGGTCTCTCAAACTTTCCTCGGTTACTCGATACTCAACTCTCCCTGATAAATTGTAAAATACATAAGAAATAGAGATGAAAAAAATAACAAAACACAATAATGTATCCCAAAATAAAACATGTTTATTATTTTTCTAATGGATTATTAGTTGATTTTTTACAGATTATAGTGCATTTCAGTAAACTTATAGTGACTACATCAGCCAATAATCCGGTAGTAAATCTTATCCATAGTTGTAAGATTTACACTATTTGATTTAGATCTTCAAGCCTAAGATTCGATGAAAGAGCTTTCAGAAAATCTCAAACTTCTCAAGCTTCAATGAATCCAATCTACAACTTGAATTTTGTTCAAGGTGGAAAGACGACATACCTTAATGATATGTATTAAATTAATTTGCAGCTCAAAATATGTGACAATTAATGCAAAGCACAGAATAAAAAACAAGGGACGAGCTACAAACCTCTCCTGTTTTTAACATCGATGTATCTATCTTGTTTGATTTTGTCCACATAATTTATCCCCAAACGGCCTTCAATCCCTCTTTTAAGATTAAAGCGGCCAGCAATATTAACAACCACCGGTATATCCCTATACTTTGATGCATACAAAAGCACAGCATTCCCTCCTAGAAACATTTTGTTCAACATTCTCAAATATAGTGAAAACGGTGCTCGCTCACAGACAATTTATCTTTTGTATATCAATTGGGAACAAAGTCCCGGTACTACTATCTACTACTACTATCTACTGGGAAACAAGTAATCTCTAAATAAGAGCACCATCCTCCTATCCTTCCAAGAAAATTACAAAAATGAAAAACAAGTACAAAATTGGGGAAGTCCCTGTGCTCTTTCAGATGAAGGCACCAGTAAGAAACCAAGAACCCCATTTTAATTTTGAATTGAAAGAAACTATGCTCATGTATGATTAGACATACACCAAGAAAAAGTGAGTGAAAAAGTCAAACAGTGCTGATCATCTCGATAAAACAAAAGAAAACGAGTAACATGAACTGAAGGATTGAGAGAAATAATGGGAGGGCATTTATATGTGCAACATTTCTGAAAATGAATGACTGAAAAAAAAAAACAAATATACAAAGAGGAGTATGCCCACAACTGAAACTGTTATACCTTTGCTGTGCCCAATAATTGCTGCTATGAAATATCCATTCTGACGAAAATGTTCAACTACAACGTGCAAATCATCAGCTTCCCTACGGTAGTTACCATATTGGAATGAACCCTCACTTTCACTGAAAGAAAAACTGTAATTTCAATAACTGGTGATATTGATTTTCCAAGAAACAAAGGTTATGAGGCTTCTTCAAAGAAGAAACTGCTTGTAGTCGACTAAACCCTTAAGTCAAAGTACCCATATGTAAGCAGTTGACCACATACCCATTGCCAGAAAAATCAAAACGGAAAGCGCTAATTCCTGCTTTCTCAAAAGCAACAGCAAGGGTCACCATGGGAATGCGATCCTGAGGTAAAAGTAAAGTTAGAGGATCTGTATGTAAGAGGGAGCATTACCATATTTGTGACAAGCAATACACAATAATTGTCCGGTCTAAATGAAATAACCTTTGAGGACCTGAAACCATGACAAACAACTACAAGCTCCTTAGTACCAGCTTCATGTAATATTCCCACTAGCTTCTCGCCATGGTTGTTCACCGCCGCAACCTTTTTGTGTTGCATCGCGGATATTTTAGGATGAATTGAGATTCAATAATGGATCAGCTCAACTTTCGTCAATTCACAAGGCTGTATTAACCAAAATTTCAAAGCAAGTACAATTTGAATAAAGTGAAAAATGTGATTTCAATTTCGAATGTGACACAAAACAATCCCTAAATTATACCATAAGCACAACACAACCCTTCAGAGGCGCCGCAAAATCACACAGATCCTTATTAAAATTAAAATAAACGCACAAACACACACAGCAGCCAGATCCAGGGCGGACTTCGGCCAAGTGTAGTGTTTAATATGCCAAACTATACCGCTAGACGGTGGTCGGCGGTGACGCCTCCTGATTCGGAAGCTTGTATGGTACAGTCTGCTGGTTGTAAACTTCTAATTTTCGGTGAAAAATACTCTTCCAGTGAGGAACACTCGAATGTGGTCAAATTTTTGCAAGTTAACTAGTCCGGAAAATACATATTCCGGACCAGTTAACTTGCAAAAATCATTTGACGACCTTCCCGATTGAGTTTTTGGCTGAATTTTTTTGTGGATAAACTAAACTTGATGGTGAACATGTCATAAAAATTTCATCAAAAAAAGCCACCGGGAAGGCCGTCCGGACGGCGGTTCCTGTCTGGAATTCCGGACATGAACATTTGTGCTGTTAAGGATGTTTTTACTTAGACTTTAATTTGTCCCAGACCAGACCAGACCAGACTTGGATAGTTATAAAAATACAAAGAAACCAGACCTTACCAGACCAGTTCAGACTAGACCAGACCAGACCAGACCAGACCAGACCAGACCAGCAAATTACAGTCCAAGTAAAAACATCCTAAATGAGCAATCAATTTTGATGATCATCTAGCCTGTTCTTTTGAGTATTAGGAGCTTAACGGTGAACGTCAGTCATATCTGCTTCATTCCTCATAGATCAAATTATATTTATTATTTTTTCGTTTATTAAAGTCTTAAATTAAAAAAAAGTCTTAAATTATATCTATAATCAATTTCATTAAATTTCAATATATGAATCTAATGGATTATTATATGTTTAAGTTTTTAACATGTGCAACCTTTTAAAATGAGCATAAAACAGTACTAAATGAGCATACATAACTGAGGAAGCAGACTCACTCTCCCTTACGGGAGATCTCGGGTTCGAAACTCAATGGAGTGAGTTTCAGCCCTGATTACTCCAAGTCCCCCTTCCCCCCTCCCCCAGAAGCCACCTGGAGTAAAAAAAAAAACATACATAACTTACAAAATGAGTATCAAAATATTAAAAAACTCATTTGTGTGTACTCATTCACTTTGGGTGTTATACTCATTTGAGTTTAACATAAAACTCATTTTGAAGTATGTATGAATATGACATTTTAAAATGAATATTGCACTAATATCAAATGAGTATACATAAATTACGAAATGAGCATTCAAAAAACTCATTTGAAAATGTGTTCATAATTGTGATTTGTTTGCTTCATAGTAGTTTAGATATAAATCCATAGTAGTCGAAAGTTTGATGATTAATTGTGATTTGATTGCTTCACGTTCTTTTTTACGTGAGATGACTCAGAAAAGATGGATGTCAATGCTAAGCACTAATCGGCGATTTCCTTTAAATCCCTTTGTGTGAAGCTGTAATTCCACTTTGATTCATTCCTTGCTAGAGACGGTTACACCTGTACGAAACCAGGAGAGGATTACGGAAATGGTTTCTGATGCCAATTGTTAGGAATTTAATTTACGCACACGAAACAAAAACAATAACGAAGAACACACGAAATTTGGTAACTCAGTTCGCCACGAATGACTACGTCTGGGGGCGCTACTGTCACGCCTCAGACCGCATCCGAGCGCGTGTACAACCGCCGTATGACTAAATGATGTTACCCGCGAGTCAACGTGACTTAGTCACACAAGGCGTCCATGAACATAGTCCATACCATACTCAGTAAGTAAACATACATAACAACATCACATGTTTGGATTGAATGAATAGCGGAAATATTCAATATTCAATCATGGGCCACACATGGCCAAAACGTAGGCACGCAGGCCCAAAACAAATGTATTTATTACAGAGTATCCATGAGCATAGTTTGTAGTTTAAAACAGTAAAGAAAGCACGTACCATGTCTTCCTTTGGAACACTTCATCGAGCAAGGTGTGGATAGCTAGCCTTAGCTTCAACCTGAAATGGTGGAGCCCCCCGAAGGGGTCAGTACAAGTACCGAGCGAGTAGCAAGCTAAATGTAGAATAACTAACGTTTCAAGTATAAGACCCAAACATAGGGTGATACATATACGTATAGTCTTTCCGAAACACACCCAACAGATGTTTCTATCCCGGTGTTGGCTGTTCAGAATTAGCCATAACTTCCTAAATATTATTAAAAAGTGGAAAGATTACAAAGAGGTGGGACATGATGCCTTACCTCAAGTCCATGAAAGGAGTTAGGTATTGTTGGGTGTTTAGCCTATCTAAAACTATCACCCCTTTTAAATGACCTGCTTGTGGACATGTAAAATTATTAGGCCAACTATGATAGCCATTAAGCTTTTTTTTAAAAAGCTATCGGGTTATAATATCGTATTGGGCTACTGTCAGAATGGATTGAGCTGCTCATGATAATTGATTGGGCCTTGGCAAGAGGGAAATATTAAATTGGATCACTTGGATAAAATTTAGTGATTAAATTAATCCGGATCATTTACAAGATCCAATTAATTTAATTATTAAAAGAATGGACCGGTCCTATTAATTTTGAGCTCATTATCAAATATTGGACCAATGAATAAGAGGCATGATTCAATTGATAAAGAGAGCAATGAATCCAGTCAAGAAATCTATCCAAATGCATGAGAAATAGCCCCGAACCTTGTTAAGAAAGCTGTCTAGATACATTGCATAAGTGCTGATTTTTCTGGTTATCAAAATGCAAGCAAATAGAGCCCGAAGCCCATTTTTATTTAGGCCCATGGGATATGGACGAATTTTTGCAACCCTAAGCCACATTTTCACCCCCTCCACACCTATAAATAGGGGTCTCAGTTAAGAGGAATAGAGGAGAACTTTCAGACGAAGAAACGCTGCAGCAAAGCTCTGAAGAACTCCCGAAAGGCTTTGAACGATTCCGAAGAAGAGGAAGAGATCAAGCCACGTTTTTTTAAAAATATATGAATAATCCTTTGTGATTTCATCTATTCTTGATCAAACAAAGCAAAAGTTGAAGAATGTTCGAAGATCTGAAGAACGAAGCTTGAAGATTCGAAGATCTGAAGAACGAAGCTTTGAAGATTCGAAGATATGAAGAACGAATCTTTGAAGATTTGAAGATATTCATATGAAGATTGAATCAAGATTCAACTGAAGATCAAGCCATATATCCCGGGAGGCCCTTTAACAGAAGATCAAGCCACAAAACGGCCCTTTTGTTGAAGATCAAGCCACTTGAAAACCGGAGGCCCTTCAAGCTGAATTCTTTATTCAAGAAGATTTGAAGATCCGAAGAACGAAGGTTCGAAGATTCGAAGATCTCAAGAACGAAAATTCGAAGATCCGAAGAACGTTCAAGTTTTTGAAGAATTAAAGATTTAATTTTTAATTAAATTCTTTAATTATATTCATATCAAATTGCAAGTGAAGAATCAGAGGATTCATATTTAGAGATTGTACCCTATATTCTCATATATTATTATTTGCGATCAATTTTAAGTAAATACTTAAAATTTGTTTCACAAATTTTTGGCACGCCCGGTGGGACAACTCTACCTCTCATCTCTTCACTTTTGATCAAGGGAAAACGAACCAATGGCATCAAGCAAGCCCGTGTTCACTTTGAATTCTCGAGCATCGTCAAGCTCAAATCAAAACATGCAAGGCCCTATCACTAGGAGCCGATCAAGAATCTTGGTTGCGCAATCATCCTCGGGAACTACTCCCGATGCAATGGATGGATCTCGAATTGTGCAAGAGATGGCTTGGAAGTTTTCTTCACCCATGCGTGAAGTTACTTCCCCAAAGTGGACAAGCAGTGGTGAGAGCTCATCATCTAGATCAGACTCTACTCCCCCGTCAACTCCTCCACGAAGAACTACTCCGCAGTGGTCAAATATCTATACTGTGATGCCCACAATGACAACAAGCACCACGTCTATGGAAGAACAAATCGCTCATCTAACTAGGGTCATCGAGGGAATGAGTACGTTCATGCAGGCTCAAGACCAAAAGTTGAATGAGCTGAACAACAAAGTGGAAAGCTTGAAAGGTGAGTCAAGTCATACTCATGAGAAGGATCCCGAAGTGCATGAAGATAATGATCCTCACCAAGAGGATTCGGGGAAGAACATCTCAACCTCTGGGGGCATGATCCCGATTGATCAAGTTAAAGACTTCATCATGGAAACCATAAAGGGGAAGATAGAAGGGAGTAAATCTACTTACTCCTATGTTAAGCCATACACTCAAAGGATCGAGGATCTAAAGATGCCCATTGGTTACCAGCCGCCGAAGTTCATCCAGTTTGATGGGAAGGGAAATCCGAGGCAACATGTTGCCCATTTCGTGGAAACTTGCAATAATGCGGGAACAAGCGGAGATCACCTTGTCAAACAGTTTGTGCGTTCTTTGAAAGCAAACGCATTTGACTGGTATACTGATCTGGAGCCCGGTTCCATTGATAGCTGGCAAGATATGGAACATGAGTTCTTAAACCGTTTCTATAGCACAAAAAGGGTGGTTAGTTTACTCGAACTAACAACTACTCGCCAATGGAAAGATGAATCTGTGATAGCTTACATTGAGCGTTGGAGGGATCTTGCTCTAAACTGCAAAGAACGAATCTCTACAAGCTCCGCTATCGATATGTGCATTGAAGGAATGCATTGGGAATTGTGCTACATTCTCAAAGGAGTCAATCCAAACACTTTTGATGAGCTAGCAAGCAAAGCTCGTAACATGGAGTTGAGCATTACGAGCAGTAAAAGGAAAACCGTGGGTATGTATCACGTCAATAATGCGGTTGAACAACAAGATACCAAGAATGGGGGCAAACCTTTTTTTAAGTTTGAAAAGAAAGAAGCAATGGTCACGAAGACTGCACCTGTTAAGATCTTCACTCAAAATTCAAAGCAAGTTCCTAGAGCCGACTTGGAGGCATCAAAACGGGTTAAACCATTTCTAGAAGAGATGTTGGAAAAGAAGTACCCCTTCTTAGACTCTGACGTTCCTCTCATGTTTGAGGAACTGATGAGATTGAATCTTATCAGTTTGCCCGAGTCCAAGCGACCCGAGGAAGCCATAAAAGTCGATGATCCCAAATACTGCAACTATCATCGAATTATAAGTCATCCCACTGAGAAGTGTTGGGTTCTTAAAGACAAAATCATGGCACTAGCTCGTGATGGAAAGATTGAGCTCGCCGATTCTGCTGCAAGCACAAACCAAATTGCCATCACTTTTGGTAAGTTTTCTCCACTCATAGTCAATGATGAATCAAAAGAAGAGAGCATGATCTTTCACAATCGAAGACTTCCTTTTACTGTCAAAGGAATGGGAAATGACTCTCCTTTCAACAAAAGTGTGAGAGATGAAGAAAATAATGGTAAAGATTGTCCATGGATCTTAATAGATCGATATAATCAAAAGAAAAGGCACAAATTGATCTCGTCCCCAATGAAGGAAGAGAAGAAATGGGTCAAGAGAAAGGAGGAAAATAAAAGCAAGCTAAAGAAGGAAAGAAAGATTGATGTTTGTTCCAAGATTGTGCGAAGGCCAGTTACTCTAGATGATTACAAGCCAAAGAATTTCAAGAACAAGATAAATCAATTTTCAAGTTCTTGCCTTAGCACTCATGAAAAAGAGATTGAAAGTTCACGCATATGTGCATCTCGATCTTTGGTTGAGCAAAAAGAAACAAAAGCGCGCAAATCAACCTCTTATGCCACTGATATTGTCTTTAAAGATGAAGATCTCATGTTGGGCGCAACCCCTCATAATCGTCCACTCTTTGTCGAAGGATACACTCGTGGACAAAGATTCAGAAGAATTATGATCGATCAAGGGTCTGCCGTTAACATTTTGACGGTTCGAGCTATGAAAGACCTTGATATATCAATGGATGAACTCTCCCAAAGCCGCTTGATGATTCAAGGCTTCAATCAAGGGGGGCAAAGGGCGATTGGAATGATACGTCTTGATTTGATCATCGGCGGACTGAAGACAAACACTCTATGCCATGTGATTGATGCAAAGGCTTCATACAATCTCCTTCTAGGACGCCCATGGATCCATGAGAACGGTGTAATCCCTTCAACATGGCACCAATGCTTCATGTATGAGCAAAATGGCGTTGTAAAGAAGGTAGTGGCCGATGAAACTCCATTCACAGAAGCCGAGACATACTTTGCAGATGCGAAGTTTTACCTAAAGACCAAAATTTCTAAAGATGACAATGCTAGACAAGAGGAAGAATATCGCCCCTTAATTGAACCAAAGCTGAAAGGGAAGCTTGTTGAAGGCGTAGAAGGGCTTACATTCCCTCTTGCAAAGGTTGAAATATTGAAGCCTCCTCGGAGCACACGTAAGGAGGAAGTAAAGAGAAAAGATGATGTTAAGACATACGATCTCCCCAAGGCGCGTACAAATGAAGGATTTGATCCAAACGCATATAAACTTCTTGCTAAAGCCGAGTATAATCCTAACGAACGGAAGTTGGGGAAGCTCATTCCAGAAGCTGGTGGAGAGGGAACACTGAAGCAAATCAATGCACGAGGGCATGTTGGATTGGGTTACATTCAACCTAAACCTATAAAGATCCTCATAAATAAAGCCGCAATACATCATATCAGTGCCGATGAAGAAGATGAAGTGACTTCTAAGCCGAAGTGTTATGTCTCCGATCGAACTGAGGGGGCAGAATCAAGGCCCTCCTTCTTTGATAGAACGGGTCCTAACCCAAAGAAGGTTCTGAAGAACACTTTGTAAGATCATCTTGGAACAAGCCTGATTATGATGAAGCACGCTGAAGACCCATGCATGGGACAAAATTTTGAAAGGAAGTCCAGTCATGAAAGAATAGGATCGAAACATGGAAGAAATAAATCTACCAAAGTTCCTCCCGAAAAGCAAAGTCTTAATGAGTATAGGAGTTTTATCCCATCTCGTATGAAACGAAAAACCGATGTGAAAGTAACATATGGAAGTGCACTCAAAGTCAAGACAGTGACCATTGTGCATACTCATGGTCAATATGAAGACCAATATGTGAGTTCATACTCCAGCAATCCAGTACCCTTGATGTTGGGGTATAGATATGTCAAATGAAATGTTGAAAGCCTTAACCACCAATGATGTTGTAAGTGGCTAAACTACTAAAACATCTCACTTTGTCTATGGGTGAGCATAATCATAGATACTCTTGGCCCACGAGAGTTTAAAATGTGTACTGCAAACTCCTGGCCCGCATGAGTTAAAACTGTGTACGGCACCCCACCCCTATAAATTACCTATTCAAATGGTACTATGAACTACGTTTGACTTGATCTCCTTCACAGGAGTACGTAGGCAGCTCAAAAGTTTCATTTTTGAGTTCAGTTATAACATAACAAATCTCAATTAAGTCACTTTGTCAAAGAGAATATCAGAAAAAGGCTTACGAAAGAAAAAGTCAGATGAATGGCAAAGGCTTGGATATTCTTTTATCTCCTCCTCATCGGAAGTTGAATGAGTTGAGTTTCAAACGGTGTCTCCACAATGACGCCACCATCCCAACAAAGGGCTAAGCAGCACCGACGACCGGCAATCAGTCTAATTCGGTGCCAACCCAACAAAGGGCTAAGCAGCACCAACGATCCGGAATCATTCTAATTATTCATATAGGTGCCACTAACCCAACAAAGGATCATAAGCGACACTGACGACCGTCAAGACTGCTTCAAGCTCCGGCAAGACTGCTACAAGCTCCTGCCAGACCCCTACAAGCTCTTGTCGGACCACTACAAGCTCCTGCTGGACTGCTACAAACTCATGCCAGACCGCTACAAACTCATGCCAGACCGCTACAAGCTCCTTCCAGACCGCTACAAGTTCCTGTCGGATTGCTACAAGCTCATGCCAAACTGCTACAAGCTCCTGCCAGACCGCTACAAGCTCCTGCCAAACTGCTACAAGCTCCTTGAAGTTTCTTCAAACCGACAAAATAGTCAGTCTTCACACCGACAAAATAGGCGATCTTCACACCAACGAGCGGCACGAACAGCCGGTAATCGGCCAAAGCTCTTCCTCTTCAAAGAATGACATCAATTTGAAGTCGTTTGAAATAGCAGGATCTTGAACTCTCAATTGCTCTGGCGAGTGGAGAACTAATACATTAAAAGTTTTAAGCAGCCAAAATTTGATTGTCCATCCAAAAAAAATAGAGGCACAAAAAAAAAGCATCAGAAAGGTAGAGGCTTTAAAAAAAAACATCTGCCTTTAAAAGATAAATCAATTGGCTCAATACAAATCAGCCCAATATTTTAAAAGCGGAATTGGCAGACTCCGTCCAATACCTCCTTGGTGGTCATCTTCTTCACGCGTAAATAATAGCAGCGAACCAGCTCCCCTCTGAACCTCGAACGAGCGGCACCGACTCTGATGGCACGAACCTTTGACGGGGTCAGCTTCGGTCACCGACCTCCAGCATCCCAGAAGTTCCTCTCTCCAAGCGAACGAACAGCCGGCAATGAATCCCCGCTCTGCTTTAACCTTCTTGGATCGGCTTTGAAGTGCTGCATCGACAGAAATCCGGCTAAGCAACCACCGACCTCTGGCAATGAAGCATCTCCTCTCTGGCAGCAATGGAAAACGCCAACTCAGGTTCTCCTCCTTCCGGCAAATTAGGACGGCCACTCTTCCAGGATGTTTTTTTTCCCCTCTCTCCACGAGCCTGCAGCTCACCAGAGCAATCGGCGGCAACCCTCAGCCAGACCCTCCTCTCCAGCGAGTCAATCTGCAAACCGCAACAAAGAAAATCACTTCCTTGGTTGAAAATAATGGCAGCAATGGTGATACTCCTCCCAGGCTTTGGACGGCCAAATCTTTCAATTTCCTCCCATTGACATCACTGTCTAACAACGGAGCATACAAAGTTGCTCTAATTTCTGACTGTTGGCCTTCGAAAAAAACGAAAACAACGAGCCGGCAGAGCTTCAACAGCACCACCACCGCCAGTTTATTCACCAAGGTCTCTTCCTCACCAAAGCCATGATTTTGAGAATCAACTAGAGTTACTAGATCAAGTTTCAGGTCCTGCCATCGTCTTCCTCATATAGATAGCAGCTACAAAACCAACAAAAAAAAAACTGCAAGTGTTCCGGCGACGGGATAGAAACAACACCCATACGGCGGTGGCCTTTTCTCCATCACCATCTCAAGTCCGGGCGATAATTAAGCAATGGCTTCCTCTAAATTCCGAACGGCAACATCGACGTTAGTTTCTCTCTGGCGAACGGCACCGGCAATCTGATTTTGAAACATCCCTGCAAGTCTGCAAAAACAAAAAAAAAAAGAGATGTGTGAAGAGAATGAGGAATTTTACCTATTTTCTATCTTCCGCCTGCTGCTCTTGTTGATGCGTACATATGAGTGGCTTGGCTCCTATATTTATAGGAAATTTGGGATCTTAAAATAAAACTTGGACTCTAAAGTGAGAGTCCTAAAAGGACTTCAAAGTTTGAGTTACGGCTGCCTTAGCTCTATCGATGGGGATTAATGAGCTTCGCTAGGCATTTTTTTTCTTTGCTCTCTCACTGGGCCAAGGAAAAGAAAGAGGTTTTGAATTATAGAATAGATGGTTCTTATAATCAATTTCGAAACTTACTTTCTCTTGTTCAAACGTTCAAGCAAGTCTCGAGGGGCATTTGTGGACATCTAAAATTATTAGGCCAACTATGATAGCCATTAAGCTTTTTTTTAAAAAGCTATCGGGTTATAATATCGTATTGGGCTACTGTCAGAATGGATTGAGCTGCTCATGATAATTGATTGGGCCTTAGCAAGAGGGAAATATTAAATTGGATCACTTGGATAAAATTTAGTGATTAAATTAATCCGGATCATTTACAAGATCCAATTAATTTAATTATTAAAAGAATGGACCGGTCCTATTAATTTTGAGCTCATTATCAAATATTGGACCAATGAATAAGAGGCATGATTCAATTGATAAAGAGAGCAATGAATCCAGTCAAGAAATCTATCCAAATGCATGAGAAATAGCCCTGAACCTTGTTAAGAAAGCTGTCTAGATACATTGCATAAGTGCTGATTTTTCTGGTTATCAAAATGCAAGCAAATAGAGCCCGAAGCCCATTTTTATTTAGGCCCATGGGATATGGACGAATTTTTGCAACCCTAAGCCACATTTTCACCCCCTCCACACCTATAAATAGGGGTCTCAGTTAAGAGGAATAGAGGAGAACTTTCAGACGAAGAAACGCTGCAGCAAAGCTCTGAAGAACTCCCGAAAGGCTTTGAACGATTCCGAAGAAGAGGAAGAGATCAAGCCACGTTTTTTTAAGAATATATGAATAATCCTTTGTGATTTCATCTATTCTTGATCAAACAAAGCAAAAGTTGAAGAATGTTCGAAGATCTGAAGAACGAAGCTTGAAGATTCGAAGATCTGAAGAACGAAGCTTTGAAGATTCGAAGATATGAAGAACGAATCTTTGAAGATTTGAAGATATTCATATGAAGATTGAATCAAGATTCAACTGAAGATCAAGCCATATATCCCGGGAGGCCCTTTAACAGAAGATCAAGCCACAAAACGGCCCTTTTGTTGAAGATCAAGCCACTTGAAAACCGGAGGCCCTTCAAGCTGAATTCTTTATTCAAGAAGATTTGAAGATCCGAAGAACGAAGGTTCGAAGATTCGAAGATCTCAAGAACGAAAATTCGAAGATCCGAAGAACGTTCAAGTTTTTGAAGAATTAAAGATTTAATTTTTAATTAAATTCTTTAATTATATTCATATCAAATTGCAAGTGAAGAATCAGAGGATTCATATTTAGAGATTGTACCCTATATTCTCATATATTATTATTTGCGATCAATTTTAAGTAAATACTTAAAATTTGTTTCACACTGCTATCAGGTAAAAATACTTCATATTACACTGAAATTCAGGTCTGGATTAAAGTAGTTACAATAGAGGTAGATTTATTTACAATAGGAGGCATCAGGTGAGACTTGAGAGAAAGAATGAATATGAATCCAACTCGAGTTGAAAACTTCTATATCCCCGGAACATAGATCAGGTGCTAACAGTGGAAATACTTTTGAGTTCTTTAAGGAGAATGGAATAGAAGGCTTATGTTTCCATATAGGAATCAGTTTTGCTTGTGCGCATTTGGAATTGTTGTGAGCAAACATTGATAAGAGTTCTTTTACAAGTCAAATTCCAAAAGTCTTCTGTATTCAAGTTTTGTATCAAGCTTCATCCTGCCCCTCCTCAATTTCTCCGGCCTCAATTTTTCTGGCCTCAATTTCTATGGTAATTGAATTGTGTCCTATATCAGAGTTATAACTAACTGATTAGTAATAAAACTCATTATTCAAAGAAAATAATCAAGGTGAAAGCTGGGGGATGGAACTCTGTGTTTGCAAAGTTGATTTGCCTTTCCTATGCCCTCAAGGGTAGGGAGACTCAAATTAAGGGTATACATTTGAAGGTTCTACATGTACAAACTTTTATATTTCAGAATTATAAATTCCTATTTATATACTACCTCCATCCCAACATAAATATGAGTAATTGGAAAATGATCATTCACGTCATTTGCGGGTTTATTGTTCTATTTGAATATGCTGATAATGCATTCGACTTATTGAGTTTTTATTTGATTTAATATGTTTGTACATTATTTATATATGTGTATATATATGTTTGTGTATATTTATAACGGGGACGGGGCGGGTGTAGCAATTCTCGTCCCCCGCCCCATATTTTAACGGAGTAAAATATCTCACCCATTCCCACCTCCACCCCCAAGCCCCGCCCCATCCTTCCCCCACGGGGCGGTTCCCCACGGGTCCCCGCCCCCATTGCCATCCTTAGGAGAACCCTTGGAGGTGGGAATTAGCATGCTAGATTCACCAGCCTATTGTGGACATGTAAGAAAAAGACACGCAAAATAAAGACCTCAATTTTCTTTAAAGTGTTATGTTCAATTTTATGTGACTATTTATATAACGTAACTTCATTGTCACTATAATGTAAAGTCAAACATGATTATAGACTTATAGTCACTAAAGTTATTATCATATTCACTTTATATAAAAAGTCATATTTTTATCCATAACATTTTTTTTTGTCATACATATGTATAAATTTTATAAAGGGAAAACTCTCAAATAAGTTGACCCCCTTTTCACTAAAAGTCAATCGAGTCCATGTATTTTTTTGTGAGTCAATTAACTCCGTCAAGTATCAAAAAATAATCAAATAAGCTTTTTCGTAGATAATAAACCGGTTACCCGGTTAAGGCCTACGTGGATGTCCTAGTTGGCCATTTTTAATGTTTTCTAATTTTTTTAATTTTCTTTTCCCTCTTCCTCTTTTATCTCTTTCTCGTTCCTCCTTGTCCGCTGTTTTCCCTCTTTACCCAATCCCCTGCTCTTCTTCTTTGTCTTCTTCTTCCAATTCCTCCAATTTTGCCGCCGCCCCCTCCTCCAATTAGGTCATCTTCAACAGTTTACACCATTTTTACACTAAAATGGTGTAAACATCACATCAAACAGTATTTTATCTCCAACAGTTTACACCATTTTCACCACCAAATAGGAATATTCTCTTTTTATTCTTATTACTAACTTTTTACCATTCTTCTATTTAAGTATCTAATTATCATATATTTATACATTAGCCCCTCATTTAATATTTTGACATTTCACACATTATTTCACACATACAAACTAAAATACACCATTTTAATATGTATTTTCACGCATTTCACTAATTAAAATACAATAATCAATATTTCACAAATACAAGCTAAAACCACATAAAATTAAATATTACAATAATATTATAATAATTTGTACGTCATTAATAAAGTACCACTTAAACTTAAAGCAATAGATTAAATAAATATTCTGAGTTTAGTTATCAGACCAGACCAGAGCGGACAAACAAATTTCAGTCCATGTAAAACATCCTAATCTGTTGTTTTAAAAATGGATCAAAACTATAATAATAAAAACTTTGGGTCACATTTGAAAGAGAAAAATTACAAAAAGTAGATGGTGTTAGATATGGCGTACGCCATATTTGGTATAAAGTCATTCCCTCTCTCCCAAAATGGTGCAATGGTGCAAAGAATGGTGTGATTGTTGGAACATTTTTTTGGCAAATCCACCATTTTGGTGTTGAATTTGGTGCTTGTTGGAGTTGCTCTTAGAACCACCTCTGGCCACCACTTTTGCCTTCTCCATTTGAGCGGTGGCCCGGCGTCCATAACTACCATCTCCGTGTGTGGCCTCCATCTCCGCCGCCCTACTTCCCTACACACCTCATCCATTAGGGCAACCTCCAAACGTCCCGACATCAATAGCCGCCCACCTTCGCGTGCGTCCTCCACCTCCTCCGCCCCAACTTCCTTACAAATACCTTCGACCACCACCTCTGCGCCATCTATCTCTGCCTCTTCGATTGGAATGACCTCCAATCACACCGACCTCCATCAATCTTCACCGCCACATCTATTGGATCGACCTCCAGTCGCCCCAGCCTCCGTCTCCGCCGGCCAAGCTTCCATAGACGAGTAGATCTTTTGGGGAGAAGATTGAAAGTGAAGGAAGCCTGGAGAAGATTGGGAAATGATAGAGAACGGGAGAAGCGACGTAAAGAAGAAGAAACAAAAATAGTACTCCGTATAAACAAAAGAACGGAAAATAAATGAAAAAGAAAAAGAAAACGAAAAATAATACTCCATCCGTATTTAAAAGTTCCCTACACTTTCCTTTTTGGGACGTATTTAAAAGTTCTCTATACTTTCCCCTTTTGGTAAGTTTTTCCTTTAAAAATACTCAATTAACCTTACTTTTTCTACTTTTTATCCTCTCCTTCCTATTTTTTCACCTTCTCTCTTACTTTTTCTATATTATTCATTACCCTTACCATTCTTTCTTAAATCTTGTGCCACAATCAAACGTAGTCTTCTTTTAAATACGGAGGGAGTATAAACAAATGGAAAATAGTATAAAAAAGACCAACTAGATAGATAGGCAGTCAACCGGGTAACCGGTTGATTACCCATAAAAAGGCTGATTTGGTTAGTTTTTCATACTTCATTGGCTTAATTGATCACTTAAAAAGTACATGAACTTAATTGACTTTTTGTGAAAAGTACGTATATCTATTTGACAGTTTTCCCTTTTATAAATTACATTTTTATCTATAAAAGTTATTAGTGTATATTCTGTGATTATTTCATTAAAATATGAATGGTGAATAGGACACTAGCAACGGCCTATTGTCAGCATTAATAGTTAAGAGGACACTGGCACCACCCCAAGTGGTAAATTAAGATCCCATTAAATTTTTAAATTAATCTCTTTTTAGAGATATGTTTGACTTTTTAAATCGTTCTACTTCCGTCTCACTAACATTGTGATAAGAGAAGGTGACATGATTATTAAGAAAAATGAGTTTATGTGTTTGATATTGAATTGAGAAATTGCCTTAAATGGGAGTAAATGAAGTTTGAAATTCCAAAAGTATGACTACTATGTTTTTCTTCCCGAAATGGGAATTGTTACTGTCATGTATGAAAAATATTGTCATGATTGAAAAATATTGTCATGAATTATAATAAATATTGTCATGTTAAATGCACTGTACTGCAACTATTTGACAGT